GTAGAAAAATTTGTAGAAACAAACATTAATTAGCAATTTATTAACAGTGTATTTTATTTCAATATAAATAAAGAATTTTGCGAAAATAATTATTTATGGAGCTAAATTTTCCGACGAATACTTTTGTGAGTTCAAATAGTACAATTTTTCATTTTTGTTTATTAAGGTAATATATTTTTATTAAGGTAATATATTTTAATTATTACATATCTTTTTAGATAAAACAATTTTGAGAAATATACAATCTATTTCATTCTTGTTAATAAATTACTAATTAATATTTACTTTATAAAAATAAGATTTTTTTAAAAGTTTTTCTGTACAAATATTTTTTGCACTTTTTCACTGTATAAATAATTAACAATTTATTAACAAAGAATAAAATTATATATTCTATAGTAAATAAGATATGTACTATAAGATATGTACTATATACAATTGTATTCTTTCTTGTTAATAAATAGCTAATTAATATTTGCTTTCTAAAAATAAGGTTTTTTTAAAAGATCCTTCACAAATACTTTTTGCACTCTCACTGTATACATATAGAAAATATGTACTGTAGAATATGTACATATACTATATGTATATACATGCAAATAAAAATAAAGTATACATATATACTATAGTAAAAAATATATACATAGTACATAATCATATACTGTGCTTGTAACAATCATTTATAGCACTAACATACGAAACTGAACGTCACATTCGCAAGCCGATAAAATACCATCATCCTTCTAACATGGCAAATTTAACGCTAACAGTATCGTGTGACGTCTCTCGACATTTCTCATGCGGGAAATTTAATGTTTTCCCTCCCATTCTCCCTGAACGCAACTCACGGCTTATTTCCAAGTTATATAAAATTTACGAGAGTTCGTTATCGCAGTCCTTTTTCACCTCGCGACCATCCCTTTACCTTTCCTACGTCACTCTTTCTATCACGGCGTATCATGAAGGAGGAAAAAGGAGGGCGGGAAACGATAGAATTCTCTCCCTACTTTAACGAGAACGATATTTTCGTTCGCTCGCGTGCGTATAGGGAAAAAGGGGTAGTTTTTCATGGTAACAACTGTTTATTAAGGCGTTCTACCGTTGTACAAAGCGATCATCGTGTAAAACATTGGTACTTTCGTGACCGCGATGACACGCTACGTCGTTTAATCTCGACGGCCGTGCGTGCGTTACCGCGACCGAGGGTTTTATCGTAATTATCATATAAAGCAACGTTGTTGTTCAAGCAACTACAAATTTCAGACTCTTATCGCAAACGCGAACTTTACCCGTGCATATACGGCCGACAATGAAAGTCTATTAACGGACTCGCATCCGCCGAGACGATAACGCTCTCGATTTGTGTAAGAAAATGAACACGAATAAACTTGAACGAATTCTTATCGTTGAAAGTCCGCATCCTGTTTTCATCTGCTTTGTAATGAAGCTATTGCATAATGGCGAACAACTTAATATGTGTTTTGGTGATTTCTTATCGAAATTACACGCGCAAAATTTAGGATTATATTATGGAGAATTAAAATTTATTGTAGACGTTTTTTTTATATTTAATAAAATTTATTTATAATAATCAAATTTAAAAAATTTTAAAAATCGGTATTAAAGATTTTTTTCTTTATTAATATCTAGAATTTTCTTTCTTTTTCATTTTTTTAGCAATAAAACATAATTTAGAATGCAAAATTTAAAACGCAAAATTTAGTATTATATTATGGAGAATTAAGATTTATTGTACATTTTTTTTATATTTAATGAAATTTATTTATAATAATCAAATTCAGTATTAAAGATCTTTTCTTTATTATTAATATCTAGAATTTTCTTTCTTTTTCACGTTTTCATTAAAATGAAACATAATTTAGAATGCAAAATTTAGAATAAAAAATTTAGAATGAAGAATTAAGCTTTATCGTAGACGCACGTTTTTTTTATATTTAATGAAATTTCTTTATAGTAATCAAATTAAAAAATTCAGTATTGAAGATTTTTTTCTTTACTTATTAATATTTAGAATTTTCTTTCTTTTTTTCACGTTTTCATAATAAAGAATAATGGCGAACAACTTAATATATGCTTTGGATCATCTCGCTTTCCATTAGAAGTATTTTAATTGTAAATATTCATTATAAGAATTTTGTTACAATATAAAAAATGCAAAAAATACTACAGTTAACTGCAAAGAAAGAATTACGCGAAGGATAGGACATCTCACAAGACATTTTCGCGAGATCTCCCATCATCGAAGCCGCGCTCGCGCCGGCCCTAAGTGGGACACTTGGTGAAACGCACTTGATAGCAGTTCTGAATAAATGATGTAAACTCGAGTGTCGGCGTTGGAGTATTGCCTCGTACAATAGCACATTCCTTCCAAGCTACGAACTGAGATACGACGTTTTATTGATGTCTTATGATCATCAAATCGCGATGCCTTTCACATTCGGTGAATTTTCTTTGCTTTCCCTTTTTCTCCCCTTATTTTTCTCTCAAAGAAAATTGTATTTTTAATTTACTTTATTCATTATAGTCAGATTTTATGTATGACAGCTTTTGCGATATGGCCCTGCATGTCAAGAGAGCCTTGCGAAGAGATGAAAGGCTCGTTCCGAAGTTGTTCACGCCGGAGAACGATCTCTCCGAGTCGGTCCCCGACCGTTGCGAGAACAATCAAACGTACTTGGCGCTCAACAGGTGTCACACACAAGACAATTCGCGCGGTAAGTAACGCGTCGAGGACCTCGGCGGTTCGATGAATCGTGACCCTCGTTTCCGTTCGCGTGTAACGTCGCCTATGCAATCATTGATCATCCGGTCTGGGAGATGATTGCTGCTGTTCGCAGAAGACGCAATTGTTACGCAACCGCATGACGATTACATTATGTTAATTGCACCTAGGGTTGCCAGGTGACCGGGATTTCTGGGGAAGTCCCGGAATTTTTTTGGTTAATCCCGAAAGTTTAGTAATTGAAGTTTTCTGCCCCGTAAGTGGATAATTTTAACGAAATTTCAAGATTTCCTCTCATATTTTTAGACCATTTCTTCCATCGCAATCATTGATCTCAACACTTATATTAAAGATTATATTAAAGATTTATACAAAATTATATCACACACATATGAGTGCGTCTACAGCACTGTAGTGCCTTGTGTGTTCTGAAATTACTATATAGAGTTGTCACAAATTCCTCAGCCTACACTGAAAAAAAAGATTGGCTGCTGCAGCAAATTAGATAAATATGGCACGTAAAATATGGCATAGCATTTTTAATTGGCTGCTGCAACCAATTATTCAGCCAATTTTTTCTTTCAGTGTAAATAATTTTTCCATTCATAATTTTTCTCTGATTTCCAGACAAAATTTCATTGATTTGATTTTTCTTGATGTTTTCAATAATATTTTGAAATTTTTTTTATTTTCATTCTGATTGGGAAAATCAAATATTTTGTTGACAGCAATTTTAACAATATAAGTTACTATATACTAATTATAATGTTACTAACTGCTTTGATTTAATTGTTAAGTTGTATACTAAAACTGCATAGGTAATGTACGTATATTAAATTTCTTTAAAGCCAAGAATTTCAATTCTCCAGAAAATTTTGCAAAATTTTCTTGATTTTCATAATCGTTTTCAATTTCCCTGATATTTTCTCGATTTTTTTAATTTTCAATTTTAAGGCATTCCTGAGTGAGTCATATCAGCTTCTGTCTATAATTAATTTAAAAATGTTTATAAGAATCATATTTTTAGATATATTTTTAATTAGTCATAAATTTGTATTTATTATTTTGGCAGATACGTTAAAACGCTATCACAAAAAAATCATCAGTGTACCATAAATGATTTATGTGGAGCCTCTAACTATATTAACTGACATTAACTGATTTAACTCAAATACTTCGATAAATCCATGTTTCAACTATTGTCTCAGACATATCCCGGAAATATTGATATTAAATCTAGCAACCCTAAATGCATCGTGTGTTTCTAGATTCTCAAGAACCGATTGTTTGATCGCGTTGCCTTGTTTTCCGAGGATGATCGGTTCATCTATCACGCGAGGAGAGAGAACTGGTCTCGATGGGATACTTACACGTGGCGCCGAGCAGCTGCGGCAGATACTTTTTCCAGAAAGTGCACTGCCTCACCCTGGGACCGCTGCCGATCTCTGTGCTGTTGATGTCCAAGGTCAGGTACTCTTTATTGACGGCGGTGTGCGACGGCCAGTAAGCCAGGGATAGCTCACCGCTCTCGTCGATGTTCGGATCTCTGACCGATCATACAAATCAGACATCGTCTAAATATATCGTCGTCTCGACGCGATACCAAAATATCTTCAAGTAACGAGATTTAAAAGTATTTTTAAAGTAATTTATACGGATTAACGGTAGCGAATTAATTTAAATCAAATCCGTCCTTCTTTAATTTCTAATGAAATTTTGCATGCGCCAAAAAAAGACCCAAATTGTATACGAAGGATTAAGTAGATTAAAGATAAAAACTTCATTATTTTAAAAATATTTGTCACATAAATATTTCTGTTTTCAAGTTAGAATAATATTTTTTTTGCGAAAAAATAAAATATAAAAATATTTTTATAGTTGATGAGCATGAATTAATTCGTATTTTTCCGAGCAAAAATTATTTATTCATATTTTATTTCTATCATTTCTAAATCAATAAAAAAGCGAACATCGATATATTTTGTGTCGCGAATACTAGAACATTTTCTATTTTAAAAGTTATAACATAAATATACATATACAACGTGTGTATTATATTTATATTTATATTTATATTTAATTATATTTGAAATTAAAATATAATTTTCTGAAATTATTTATGTGTATATTGTCTCCCAAATTATATAATCGCTAAAAAGCCTTTTATGTAATACGTACAATTTTCTCAATTTTTTTTTAAATTAGAGAAAATAATAGTACATATAAAAAAAAAGGTTAACCATGCCTCTTACCCCGTTTTTGCGAAGTTCGCCCAGTATCTCATCATTCTTTTCGAGAGCTGTATCTCCTCGTGCGTGTAGCCCTTGGACGGGTCCAGCGGTTCCCCAAAGATGTAGCTTATCTCATCGGCATGCATGACTCCGGTCCATCGCGGCCATGGATTGTTCCTAGATCTGTGCAAATCGTCTTTTTTTTAAATCCTATATAACTTAGGAAATATAAATGGATCTATTATGTTAATTGTTTCCTCTCTTTTTTAATATGTTACTCCCTAATTCAAAAGTGACAGCTTGAAAGTTAAGTTTCACATAAAAGAAGAAAAACTATTTTTCAATTTGATGGAAAATTATTAACTAATCAAGTAATATCTCGGCAATATTGAAATAATAATATAAATTGTATGGATACTTCAAACAAATTAAAATGGGAATAAATTTTAAATAATTATGAGATTAAATTTTATAAATTTATCATATTTTTATTCAGTAAGTCAAATCTAAATCTTACAACATAGAACGCCGTAAGATTTAAATTACTGAGTAAATGTGACTTATTATAAACTTCTGCGCATAATAATTTCTTACCGCGACTCCTACAGCCCTCCCCCTCCTTTGTTTTAATTAATTTGTAAAAATATTGTACATTCCGAATCCTTAGAGGAGAGCCAGAGAACTTCCTTAACAATATCGAGATTTCAAAAATTGATTTCTTTCTTTACCTGTGCTTGTAATAATACATATAGACAGTGTGGCCGGTATCGGCGTATCGGCCGGCAAATTCGTTGACATTGCAAGTGAACTGGTAGTCGCCGACGATTTTATCAAGGGCGTCGCGATTCGCGTGCGGATCCTCTGGATGCAGCCAGTCGCTGTACTCGTAGATGATGGCGTGACGGCCAATTTGATTTACGTAGGGATTCAGCTCGGATACGGCGCTGATGAACTGATCGCGCGTCACCTTCACGTCCTCGGCACCGTCAATGCGAAACAACTCCGTTAGATAATAGATGATGAAGTAGAAGCCTTCCTCAGTGTTGGAACCCATGAGGATGTTGGTCTTCTTGAAGGATGTCGTGGCGAGCGAACGTTGGGGAGTCTCGTCGAGGAACGCGCCGTCAATCACCGGCACGAACGGGAACTCGCATATTCCGAGGGTGCCCCACTCGTTCTTCACCAGTTCCTCCGCATCCTTCGTCAACAAGCAGTCGATCGCTTCACGCAGATTGTGGCGATCATGCGGGCAACCCACTGCTTCGGCCAGCCGGATGCCACGCACGATCGATTCGTCACGCGAGATTATCGCCCATGGCGCGGTCGCTGAGCCCGATTGCATGATGGCTTGATTGAACAAATGCCTGGAATAGGAATCGCAGGTTCTTTCCTTTAATGAAAGAGACTTTTTTATTTCCTCCACCTTTTAATGTACTCTCTAAAACTTTTAGAGTGAACTGTCACTCTAAAGTGTGAAAAGATTTTACTCTTTAAAGATTGAAAATTAAGTCACTCTTTAGAGTGACTTATTCCACTTCAAAATTTAGAGAATAAATATTAAAAATTGAAATATTGCTGCGTTAAGAAAAAAATGATACAACTTAAAATTAGTAATTTTTCAGTAGAACATTTTTTTTATTTTTTGCAGAACGGGAACGTTTTAATTAAGATAGTAAATATAACTTCACTTTCCTTTCATACACATATTATAAACTTTAACATTATTATAAACTTTATCTTTGATACCTCCGATAATATCTCATTAGAACTGTTGAAGTCTTCTATTAGTTTGATAATTTCCTATATATACTTGTTTTTGATTAATAATATTAAAAATAATTAATAATAATATAATTAATAATAATTAATAATAATTTAATATTATTTACATTATATTCACTTTTCAATATTCTGTACTGTATATTTAATATAAAAAAGAAGAAAATTTTATGATTAGCGGAGTCAAAACGTTAAATCATAATGTACTCTTTAAAACTAACAATAAGTTTTCAAAATTCGAACACTACACGGAGAAAATTTTATATTAAGTTTTAATACAATTTTCAATTACACTTTGTTATATCTTGTATTTTTGATGGACCATCACAACATGATTCCGACATAACTTTTACTACGGTAATACTAATTTTTATCACATAAATAAAATAATTTTTGTTAAAAGCTAGTGCTTAAACCATATTCATATAACATGAAAACAATTAATTTTTACTACGGTACGTAAACAAAATTTGCTAGATATATATTTTTTACTTATCTTTACAATACTAACTTTTATTCAACTTTTGATTTTGTAATAAACAATTTCTATGAAAAAGTGTAAAAATTATGTTGCATTATTGTTTTAAAAAAAAATAACTATAGCATTTAAACTTATAATTGTCATGATAGTCCGCAGCTTCTACAAAATTATTTTAATTCATTATAATTTTACAACATTATAATTTTAAATATAAAATTTTCTTCGTGTACACAGATCATGTAAATTTCATCCTTTAGAATTGTGAGTTGTGACTTCTATATAAGAAATGTATTGATAAATTTATCATTTTTCTATAACATATTAATCACTTTTTAGATCGATTTCTTTTTATTCTCAAAAATGTTAGTTTTTTATTTATGTCATTTCTCTATCGACGCAGCGAAAATGATATTAAAACTTGTATTTTTATATGCATATGTATCTTAAATACAGATAAATATAAATATAAATAT